GACGCTTGCACCCATTTTGGCGCACATGTTACATATCGCCGCGAACGTCCAAGTGAGAGCAACAAGTCTAGGCCCATCAATCACTGATAACACTAAACTGATGAGCGGTAAAAGCTTTTAAAGTGTCGCCTATAGCCAATTTTGAGTATGGTGCGATTTCGCGGGTGCGCGCAATTTATAAGCTTGACATGTTTGGTGTCTATTTACCCGACGTGACCCCGTCTTTTATATTTTACCAAAAAACTGGGCAATAATAAATGTTTCCTAACATAATGTAAAAAAAAACTTTTTTTTTCTGTAATTTTTCCTAATTATAATAAAAAATAAAACCCCCAGTGGTGTTTAAATACCACCAAAATAAAGCTCTATCTGTCCCCAAAAAATGGTATAAAATTAATTTCAGTACAGCGTTGCATGACGGAATAAATGTCAGTCAAAGTACCGCAGCGCTGAATACTGAAAAATGGCCTGGACAGGAAGGGGGCGTAAACACCTGGTCCTGAAGTGGTTAAAGAACAATTAAACCTTCTGGTTTTTTTGCATATATCTACTGCAAGCAAGCAGTAGATATTTATAAAAACATAAAAAAAGTTACCAAAAAGTTTATTACTTACCTGTGTCTCCTCTGCTCGCTCCCGCTTGAAGATCTGAAGATTCTCGGGCAGCCGCAAAGAATTAAGGGGCGGGCGCATGTGCAGTAGAAATCTTTGGCCGGGAGAGGAGTAGAGACACAGGTTAAGTCAATGCAGACAGCTCGGCACTGGGCACGTGGACAGACACCGTGGGACACAGGAGACACAGCAGTCAGGGCTGGATCAGAGACCGGCACCAGCGCTGGAGGGACTGATGAAAACTACAGGTAAAAAGAAGAAGATGATCGAATCAAGAGGCATCAATGAAGGTAAGTCCTTACACCAGCATTGGAAGGGGGTGAAGAATGTCACTTTAACTATTAACAAAAATGTATCTTATTTGTGTATCACTCGGCTATAGATCCTCAAATCATCTCTGAATTGGTGCTGACACTGTCCTTCCTTCGGGGGGGGGGGGCTACTTTTGTTCCCCATGGTCCCTGTGTGTGGTGTAAAGTAGTCACCATTCCAAGGTCGCTCCCGGGATAAACTACAATCTCAATACAAATGAGTAAACTAAACATGAGATTGTAGTCCATCGCGGGAGTGAGCTTGGAGTGGACACAAGTATTGTGAATTCAACTCTCCTACCTTCCCTGATATGTTTTTCTATGTAATGGCAATATTCATTGCTAGACACTTGAGTATGAATAGATAATCATGTGTACTTAAAGTGACATTAAACCCTCAGATTTTTTAACATAAACCAATACTGTAATGTGCGCCTTACTGTAATCCATGGTTGTTTCCAAAAAAATGTTGCTGACTATTTCATCTCGAATTCTCTAGCATTAATGGAACCAGAGAGTGTCATAGATGTTACAACACTGATGGTCAAGCGGGGATGTCTATGTTCCCTAAAGTATCCCTTATGGCCTCTTTGATAAAATGCCTGTATGATAGATTCAATAAGTAGACACCAAATGCGTCCGAATTTCCGTTTCCGAATTTCGGATCCCGTCTGAATTTCGTTCAAAAACTAAACTGAATGGGACATGTGACTTTTCTACCTAATCAGATGTGTTTTTCGGTTTAATGCATCCGAATGGGTCTGAACACAAATTTCCGTTACGGCAACATGGGAGCCATATACAGTATGTACATATAATACTAAAGCTGAGGCTCCTAGATCCGAATGGAATTCGGGATCCAAATTTCCGAATTGCATTGGGGAGCTCCTGAATGCCATTCGGGTCTGGGAGCCTCAGCTTTAGGCTCCCAGGAGTTATGGCTCCCAGACCCGAATGGCACTATGGTGATCAACAATAGAATTTGGAAATTCGGATTCCGAATGCCATTGGGGTCTGGGAGTTTCAGCTTTAGTATTAATATCTGTATAAGGTTTTCTGTGGTATTCACAACCAATATTCGTAAACCTATCTGAAACAAAAATGTGGTTTTAATCTGAATCCAAAACCTGAACCTAATTGAATTTCGGATCTGAATTCCGAAATATCTGAACCGAACCAAATTTTTACGCAGCTTACATGTCTATCAAAGAGACCTAAAAGACAGCACTAAAAATGAGGTTCTGCCGTCTCTTTTATAAATGATAAGATTTATTATATGATTGTCAGGGTGATATTACGACCCATATTCTAATTCCCCCTATGCCATACTTGACCATTTGTTTTTGTGCTTACCACTTTTTGTGCATGTATGCTTTTCCTGGCATATAAAATGGAGAGAGGGGGTTATAATAGAATGAAATTGTTGTACTCAATGACATTAGATGATCGATAGCC